ACCGACGAAGTCCGACAGGGAAGGAGCTACGGGAGGCACTCACCCACGCTCGTGCACCCCAATCAATGACAGCCCGCCTCGTCGTCCTGCAATACCTTGTCATCCGCTTCTGTTGCTCCCGACACACCCAGCTCCCTGCAGATGTCTCACCATGGAACCGCACCATAGCCCGGCAAGACAGATCGAGCAATCCTCTCACATGTCCGCAGAGTTGCGCGCAGAAGGAAGTATCTACTGGGCGGATGATTGGAATGGAATTTGGTGAGTGCCTTCCTGGTGGCGGGCGTGCGTCCCAGGCCTGACAGAAATGTAGTGGAGCAGAGTACGCCCAGTTGCGCAACGATGGAACAGTCGCCTCGACGTATACAACAGAGTATCTTCGTCGCCTGAAGAACTACGACGTACTACGAGCTTCTTCCTGCGCTAAGCTCACAGCAACTGATCGTAACAGTTACCCCACCTCGCTCCGATGGGCACACCCAGTGCCATTCATGTCCTGGGGGAACTCCTCAGGCTCCCAATACTACGAAGCGGTCGGACAATCGACCTACGCACCACACCCTGGAGCTCCGCCCCGCGGGATCCAGACAAGCGTCATTCCATTGAGTTTTGACTGTTCCGATGGACACGAGGACGTGCGATCCGGAGACCCGAGCAATATTAATCTCTCACGGGAAGGTGAACACCGACGATACAGTATTAGGTTAAGATTCTAAATTTGTATAGTAAGCTAAGTTACTCCAGGATTAACTATTCTATATCTGAATAGTAAACGCTTTAGCTTATATCCAGTCTTTATGTTCCCATGAGAGATCGGTGCCTTTATGTACCTTTAAAGGTATGTTGGCCAGATATCAACATAGTACCATGGTAAAGTGGAACGAAACTTTTGCAAGCGATAACAATACTCAGGAGATCACAGTTGTTGAGGTTGTGAAGAAGATATACGGCCGCTTCAAGATGTCGCCCCCGCACAATCACGACACCGTCGAAAAATAGTCCATTGCCCTGATCGCGAAGGCGATGCTCGAATCAAGCTCAACCTTCCTCGGAGTCATCCCCATTCAGCTTTCACGACACGAAGCTGGCCTGGACAGCCGTCGATGTTGGGCTGTCATGATTGAGACCATCACAGCGCTCAATATTTTACCCGTACATCTCTGGGTGAGAGAGTCCTCAGCACGATGTGGGTCGGCTGAGACTGACTACAAGTACGGACATGAGCGGGGGCCCTGGTCGACCTCAAAGTCTTGGCGACAGCGAGCCATCCCATTCTCAGCTGACCGGTTCCTCCAGCTGTATGCGAAGGAGGAGGGCCAGCCACTCTTAGCGGTCCAGGACGTGGAAGCAGTGTGTCGAAGCCATATCACGAAGAATGAGAACAATGACATTGGACCAGACAGTAAACCCATATGGGCTGATCGGTTCTACATCCCCTTTATGGGATTGTTTAAAGTCTTATAATGCAAACATCATTGACGGGGAGGTGAGTTGCAAATTCTCGGAGTTCTGCCCATTTTCGACGCTGCCAAACGCTATACTGTGAGCATCACTGCCTCTGTGCGGCAGAGAAATATATTCAGCTCCTTGCCGCCCATTCAGACCAAATTCGCAAACAGCTGTTCATGGACAGACCTCTACTCCAGGACGTGAAGTTCAAGGATGACACGAACGCGAACAACTCTATCCGGCAACTATATCAGCTCGCTCACGACTACCACCTATGGCTGTTGAATTGGGAGTACGTGCCGACTCCGAGTATGTTTCCAGTCAGTATTGAGGTGAGCGTCCAGGACCTCTGGACGGGAAAGGATATTGTATCAGCAGGAATAGACTACGGTCTAAGCCTGGACGCGTTACACGCACTGATTGAACCTCACGAACAACTACCAGCGACGGTGGGTCGAGTCGAAACTGAAGCATATCCACTACCCGGAGACTAGGACCACGGGAATGACGATGGCACAGGTCGGTGAGCGGCTACGTGCTAAGGGTTACAAGGCTCATACTCACGATTGGCGAGTTGGCATGCAGCCCCAGACATGATCTTAATACACAAGGCCCTCAAAGGCGACGACAGGGTCTATATGTACTATAATCAAGGAATCTACTGCATGTCATTAGAATCTGGAGACACCGGTATGCTCGACTGACTGGTGTACACCAGAGACTCTGATGCCTGCACAAAATCTTACCTATACTGTGTTACCCCATACCGCTTCTGCCACATATTGAGCAACAGCTTATAACTTGCTGCACTTGCTATCGATCTAGTCCAATGCGCTTCTTGTAGGGTTGCCGGAGGCATCGGGCTTGGACCTGACCTTTGCCTCGACGACATAAACTGATGGTAGAGTACCCTACTTGATTTTCTTCACTGGCTGAGTGACTCCTGTTCATCGCCAATGCGTGGATGCTTGGTGGGATACGCGGCTCAACATCGCTAATCTTCTCCCGTTCCACTGACGTATTGGACTTCTCCGCCACGGTCGCTTCGGGCGTTTCGTGGATTCCAGGTTGACTATGCACCTGGGGCGGTGGATATCTGCTGATCACCAGGTATGCAGGGATGTACTGGGTAGGGTGTGGGTAGCGCAGCTCGTCCCCGTAGGCTGCCTCGAGGGTTGTTTTAATCGTGGGGAAAGCCTCACGATACGAGCCGTAAGCCTCGCTAGAGAGTCGATTTCCAACAGCCTCAAGCGAGTACGTTGACGAGATGACCTGCAGGGCCGGTAGACGGGTTGCGACCATGCGATTTCCAAGGCTCGAGGCTGGGTGTCCGCCACGGGTGTATTGCCGTTGACCAACGAGCTGCCGGACTTGTCTTCAGTCTCAGTCTTCTCGGTGGACACGATGCCACCGTCGCTCTTGGGGTGGGGTTCACTGTCCGAAACCGGCGTACTTGGTAGGACCTGGCTACTGAGCAACGGGCTGCCGGGTTCGTCCTGAGCTGTGATCATTTCAGTGGATCTCGTGTCTGCAGGCTGGTCAGTCTAATGCATGGTTACAGGCTCTCCACGCCTATCCGTGATTAGCATACTTACTAACGGTCTTTGGTGGAGAGCTAGTTCCTGTCGGACAGCATATTTCAAGGAAGTAGCGTCGCGTCGACGGATGGGGACAGGAGTCTTGAGGTCGAGCGGCCGACGGGCGGCGGATGGTGGATAATTGAAAGCTTGTCGAGGATGGGAAGATGGGAAGGCTGGAGGGGAGAGCGATCCAGGGTAGAAAGGAGCAACTAACCTCCGCACCGACCGACGCATGACATCCATAGAATAGCCTTTGTCCCGAGTGCGTGCTGTATGAAGCCATTGTGCGTTGCAGGAAGGCATTCCCTACTAACATTTGTTCATAACCCCCTGTTTGGGCTCTCCGCGTCTCGGCTCGGCGCTGGCGGCGGCGGGGGCATGCTTTGTTGACGACGAGGTGGGCAAAAATAAATTAGACGGGATGGGGATCGAGTAGCTCTTTGTCGTATGCTGTTCGCAGTGTTGACGTAACTGTGAGGAGAGCCTCACGATATAAACCGTCAGGAGGGAAATAATAACAAAAAGATCGAGTTATCGAGTGTGTAGACAAATTTTTTCACAAAAAGGTGCTTCCCCTAGCTAACAGCTCAAAAATAAGCGTATTATATAAACCGTATACATCAATAGAAAGCCAGTTACCGACTGTCTCGAGCGAGTACATTGACACAAGCACTTGCAGGGCTGGTAGACGGTCTTCGGTAGTGGCGCTTGAGGCTTGGTCACTGACTCTCGTTGCGGGCGCGTCGTGATTCGCCGCAGTCTCCATTGATTGGTGTCGTTTCCATGCATCCTGCTTCTGCGCGCTGGTCAGTCCACGCCATGGCTGCTCAGCTTACCGCTACCCTCGCTGGCGGGGTGCTTCAGTTGGGGCGTCATACTTCGGGCGAACAACGATGTTTCGGTCGATACACGAGGAGCATCTGCTGGCGGATGACGGATGGCGGATGCAGTGTGGTAGATGATTGAGCGCTTGCCGGGTGGCGAAGGTTGGGGGCACAGCGACCCAGAGTCAGAAGGAGCAACTGAGCTCTAGATCGACCGACGTATAACAAAATGTTATGGGGCACAGCGTAGCTTCCAGGAGCGAGAATCAAGTTCTCCTTGTCGAGCAAGGACATGCGGTCGTCGACGATCTCCGCGTCTTGTGTTTCGTGCAGGCATCAAAGTCTCTGGTGTACACAAGTCAGTCGAGCATATCAGTGTCTCCAAATTCCAAATTCTAATGACATGCAGTATATTCCTCGATCCAGTTTATGGTACATATAGACATTCTTACCCTACTGGAAGCGGTTTGGGAAGCAGTGAGGCTATGGCTAGAGGCTTTGTTAGATTGACCAATATCCCTTCCAAAAGTAATTGTATATTGCAATCGCGAGAGTACTATATACATAATAACTCAGCTTATATTATCTACGCTGGGCGCGCCTTAGCCACTTTTTTGGTCCCCCTTTGTTCGTGCATTGGCAAAGCACAACGCGCCTTTTTGTCCCCCCTACTTCATTGAGTCACCCTACCTCATAGTGAATCTCTACAATATATATATTATCTATAACAATTATGTTCGTGTTGGGGTTGTCTGAGGTTGAGATCCCCTCGCCTGATCCCCGGTCCACCACCACCACCTCTCCACCTCTCCACCATCAAAAACAACGTTTCCAACGGCAAAAGCATGCATCAGCTGGGAATCGAACCCTGTCCACTGGCCAGTACTCCAGGCAAGGGGAAGGTAGTCAGTCTTATATACGAAGGATATAAAAGCAAAAAGTATTGAGACATGCATCGGCCGGGCTAGTGATTATTAGTATACGCTCATATCTTTAGTAGATAGCTTAACTTACAATCGAACCCGGGGCTAGCCGACATTGACTGGAGGCTATCCAGATCAATGGCAACGGCTAATTTTACCACTAAACCACCGATGCTGAAAAGATGGAAGACATTCCCGAAACCCACTCTGAGAGCGGACGATAGTGATGAGAGTGGGACTCGAACCCACGCCACATACGTGACCAGGAAATAGTGTTAAGTAGACCTTAACCTGGCGCCATAACCTAGGACTGTTAGTCGAGGTTTTGGTGTGGGAATGGATGATGAACATACCAACTCGGCCATCTCACCGTGATGTGATTGATGGGGAAAACTGCAAATGCGAGACATATATAGCAAATGATCAAAGCAATGGGAGACGACAGTGAGATTTCCTGTCGCACCAAAGACGGGAGCTATCTTGTGAAGACGGTGAGCCAGTGTTGGTGGCTAGGCTATGAGGGGAAGAATTTTTTCAAGTGCCCCGCTATGTGGACCTTAGACCCTATACCACCCCGAACCCCATCACAACCCGAATTCCATGGCAGCCCCAATCAACAGTCTATACGCTCAACATGATACACCTGAAAATGCAATCGGCCGTGCAGAGAACCCCTCTTGGCTGGATTGTTTTACGTCCTACACACGGCTCGGCCATCTCTACGCGATCACAACACTGAGCCAGGAAACCTGCTTGGTGGCTGAATTCAGCATACAGAAGGTTGTTCCGGACGCGTGCGGTGCTATAGTAGCCTTTGGACTGGAAGTTGCCGGACTGCACCGACTTCCTGCTACCTATCGTAACTATTCCTTCTACTACCGTGATAACTAAAGCACGAGGGACAACTTTCGCATCTTCAAAGACGCGCACATTCAAGAGCTCGTTGTTTTGTGAAATACACATCATTACCATCTCAATCATTAGCAAAGGGGCGGAAATGAAAGCCGATGCTATCCGTAAACCCTATCTTATATTTAGCTGCTCAAAGATATCATAGATACAAAAAATCATTATAGTACGAGTTACCTCAAAACACAATATATCAAGTAATTAGAGACTATCTAATTCTATAAACACTTCTATTGTCAATGTAAGGGTGTGCTCGAACAGTCCCAATCAAACTTACAGTCTCAGTCTCTGTGCGCTGTCTGGATCCGGAGCGACACCGTACAAACTCTCGTAAGGTACAGGGCAAACCTTGGATTTCCAAAAGATTTTTATCGGCGTCTAGCACCCCACTACTTAGCCATCTCACCCCGTCTCTCTCCTATACCGTGAGAGACACGGAGCTAATCCAAATATATAGTGCCCTGGTTCTTGAATTTGCATGAGAGACCTCAATAGGCCGGACCTATAGTCATACGAAATAAAAGAGCCCGTCGGAGTTCCGCGAACTCTGCAGGGTCGAGAAGACGAGTCGCTCACTTGCAAAGCATGTCATGTTATGAATTTCATGTGGTGCTTGGAAGAGCGATGCAGCGGTTTATGCCTTGGTAGGCAATCACCTTGGGATAACAAACATCTTCGTCTCCTAGTCTCGAGCACCTGAGTCAGTGTAGTGTGCGCGGCATACTTGGATTTTCCAGACTGGCTCATCTTCGCGTCTGTAGTGAACTTCACCATCATCACCACGGAAAAACATGATATTTTAATCGGCCAGATACATTTCGACTGCTCAAGCTTAATAGATGCTACTAGTATTTACATGTCCGAAGCACGTCCAAGCCCCGACGAAGTGTCAAGCCCATCAGCTCAACCAAGACACTGTGCTATGTACAAATCCTGTGTCACACACTCTAGCTCCGTGAAGAGGAGTGTGTGGTATCAAGATGTAGGAAGATTTTTCTATGCGACGAAGCGCCTAGCAAGGGCGCCCGAGGTCGGGTCGTGGATGTAGTGTCAGCACCCGCAGCACCGGCGCCAGCAGCAGCATCTGCGGTTCCATCAGTCGCCGGAGCAGCAGTGCCGGCAACATCAGCAGCAGTGGTGTTACCTGCCGCGCTGCCTGCCGTCTGGAACGCAATAACACCACCAAACGGCCCAGCGTTGTTTGCTATCCCAGTCAGCATCTGCCCGCACAATACATCAAGAAATGGGAAGCAACTCACAGTTCGCAATTTTTATAAGCACACGTTCTGCTGGCCGGCGACAGTCCCTAGGAAGGTGGTTCCCGCCGGCACCGCGACGTTTATGGGGAAGTCCATGTTGACGTTGGACGCGCGGGCTACGAGATCGCGGGCCGCGCAGGACTTTGCCGCCGGACCTGATGTTGCCCTTGTTGCCGGGGACGTCTGGGCTGGTTAGCATATACTCTTCTCGAGAAGGGGGAGAAATCGGAGAACAGAGCATACCAACGACAACATTCGCCTTGACACCGCTTGCAAACGCCCCGGTGCCCGTCGGATCGATCATCGCCTGAACGGGCCCCGCATCATCGGTAGTAACGATGTGGAACGTGCCAGTGATGCTGCCGCCGTCGCTGACCTGGGGGAGCATGGCGCCGCTCTGGTCCATTGCTGCCGAAAGCATGTTGACACTGTTCTTGCCCTGGCCTGGCGTCTGACCGAGGCCGTTGGCCGCGATGTTGGTCTTGCCGAAGACGGTGGTGTCGACCTCGGTGACCTTGTTCTTTCAGGGGCCGGGGACGACGCCGCCCTGGATGCCGGTGGCGGTGCCGTTGCCCCCTGCGTCACCGGCCACGGCGGCGATTTTTCCATGTGCAGAGATGAGGGTGGGGGCGAGGGAGGGGTCGCGGAGACGAGGGCGTGGGCGTTGGAGTACATGGTTACTGTGGACTTGGTGGTGAAGTGAGTAGGGGGTGGATGGAGGGTTGATTAAACACTGGATTGGTGGATAGGAGGTTGGAAAGTGAAGCAGAGCAGTGAGCCAATCGCGCTGAGAAGAACAGAAGAACAGGTAAAGTGAGGGGTAGGTGTCTTGCCGTGTTCTGGAAGAGACAGTGCGACCAGCCGGTCCCACCCATAAAAAAAAAAGGCGTATCTCAACACTGCATGTGGACATGAAAGAAAAGAGTTGAGAATTGGCTGTTTTATCAGCGTACAATTATATACGTTATTCGTTAAGCCCGACAACTTGTCCGGCACCTGTGATCATCCACCATATTCCACCACATGCTCTGCTTAGTCCGAAGCTTCAGCGTTTCTCCGCGCTGCTGCTTCCGCAGTGGTCTTCAACGCTGCGGGCGCGTCGTCCCATGGCATCACCAGCTCGACGAACCGCAGCTTCTGGGTCTCGCCGCTCGAGAATTCCTTGTCCAAAAACAGCTCTTCTACTTGTTGCTTGCTCTCCACGCGGTAGGTCTGGTACTGGTCTTTTGACGCACCGAAAGCTGCTGGCAAGTCCTTGTACTTCCACTCTTGAACATCGTTGTAGGGGTCTTCCATACCGTGGATGAACCTTTCGATGGTGTATCTATATCAAGTCAGCGTAACCCTTTTGAATGGTGATGAGCCCGCTCAGTCTCAAGCAGCTGGCAAAAGCCGAGTCTCGAGCCTTAGCAGCAGCAAAGAACTACTCTTCACTTACCCGTTGTTGCAGATGATGAAGATGATGGGGTTCAATTTGTTGCGGAGCATTGTGCTGACTTCTTGCGCAGTAAGCTGGAATGAGCCGTCGCCGGTGAACAGAATCGTGCGCTTGATGCCCATCTCCTTTGCGGCGAGAGCAGCACCCTGGCATGAGCCAGTGGCGTAACCGATACTGCCCCAAAGCACCTGTGAGATAGCAATCACATCGTCTGGGAATCTCGTCTCCCATATACCGAAGTTGGCCGTGCCAGTCTCGGTAATAACGATATCCTTGGGCTGCAACCACTGGCCCAGGCGCGGCCAGAACCATGCTTGTGTGATCGTCGGCTCTGGTGACTTGATTTCATCATTCGGGATCTCGTTGTCCGGCTTCGGTCCTTGCTGGATACTGAGTTTGCCCAGTTTTTGGGTCACCTTCTTTAGCACGCCGTTCATCCGCACACCCGGGTACTCAGAATACCGCACCTTGACTGCATAGCTGTGGAAGTCGATGGTGTTGAGCTGGGAAACGCGGTAGGTGAACCCAGCAGTGTTGAAGTCTGATTTGATGGCGCCAATGGTGATTACCAGGTCTGCAGACTCGACACGCTCGCGCACGCCCTTGTTGCTGCCGTCGCCGGCGTAAACACCTCCATAGTTGGGCAAAGTCTCGTTGACGGCTCCCTTGCCCATTGGCGCGACGAAGACTGGTATACCAGACTTCACGATGAAGTCATGTGTCTCTTTCAGTGCTCGGTGGCGGATCGCACAAGCGTCGACTAGGATGACTGGGTTGCGGGCTGCCTGTAGATACTTGAGAACCACATCCACGACATAATCCTCCTTCTCGGGGTCGTTCTCCGGATAAGTTATGTCCAGGGGCGTCTTGAGCCGGTCGCCATCAATCTTCTTTTGAACCATGTCTGTGGGAAGCGCAATGTAGACGGGCCTCGATTGCAAGATGCACTCGCGAATCGCGTTGTCGATCAAGGTAGCCGCTTCATGCTGGTGGTTCAGCAGAGAGACAGCGCAGGAAATTTGAGTCGACATCTTGGAGAAAACATTGAAGTCACCATTGCCGAGGGTGTGGTGAAGCAAAAGGCCGTTCTTCTGGGCCGCGGTGGTGGGGTATCCGACAATGTGCACGATTGGGACGTATTCCGAATAGGCTCCGGCAATGGCGTTGACTGCGGAAAGCTCGCCCACGCCAAAGGTGGTGACCATTGCGGAAATGCCCTTGACACGAGCGTAGCCATCGCTAGCATAGCCAGCGTTCAGCTCGTTGCAGTTTCCAACCCAGTGGAGACCAGCAGGTCTGATGTAGTCGAGAGCTACCAGGTTGTAGTCTCCCGGGAGACCGTGGACGGAGCGAACGCCGACTTCATGAAGCCGTTTGAAGAGGTACTAGCATCCGTCAGCAAACTCCAAAAAGATCATAGGCAAGTAAATATGAGAAAAGTAGCAAGACCGCAAGCGACTGCGCTATAGCCATGAACAGCGCGTTTGTCGGCGGGGCAGCGAGGTCGGAATGCTCACCTCGGCGACATCGATCGGGTTCTTGATTTCCTGTGTTCGCAGATCTGCCATGGTGAAGGGTGTGGAATTATGAGTTGATAGTGCGTGGAAGAGTTGAAGGTGCACTGTTGTGGTAGCCTTACGGTGGCTCGCGGCAGCTCTTTGTAGATATAGCTGGCTATGACGAAGTTATTGCGGGACTCGATGGTTAGTCAGGCCCTGGGTCGGCCCACCACTACTCGCGCGTGGTGGTGTGATCAATAGTGTAC